ATTATCTCCCCTTGTTTAAGGGTCCCAACCCTTATTTTAGTATAAATGGTAGCCCTTGGGCCAAGGATACCCTTTGACAAATTTGACACTGATTGGCCAAGGCGATCTTGAGTTATGGCCCATTTTCTAAAAAGTTAACGCACACCGCACGACGCACAAATGGCCATAGCATTAGCTCTTTGAGCCTTTGGCTCAGAAGAGCTAACAAGAGGCCCAGGGGCCACAGCGCTCACCTGAGTACAAAGCTAGGAAAAAGCACATATCAGATCAGAACTGAAAGTTTATACTGAGGTGGGGGTGGGGGGGCTTGAATTCCCCCTCCCCACCCAGGTGTTCATGATTTGAACAAACTAGAATCTACACTACCTGAGGATGATTCCATATAAATATCACTAATCATGGCTTTTAAGTACTTGAAAAGAAGATTTTAAAAGGTTTCCCTATACATGTACATGTATATCCCTATGTGAAACTTGGGTTGGTCATTTTGGCCCCACCCTAGTCCTGGGGGTCATGATTTGAACAAACTTGAATCTACACTACCTGAGGATGATTCCACAGAAGTTTCATTTTTACTGGTCCAGTGGTTCTTGAGAAGAAGATTTTTAAAGATTTTTCCTATATATATTTCCTATGTAAAACTTGGGTCGGCCATTTTGGCCCCATCCTAGCCCCGTGGGTCATGATTTGAACAAACTTGAATCAACACTACCTGAGGATAATTCCACAGAAGTTTCATTTTTACTGGTCCAGTGGTTCTTGAGAAGAAGATTTTTAAAAAATTTTCCTATATGTTCCTATGTAAAACTTGGGTCGGCCATTTTGGCCCCACCCTAGCCCCGGGGGTCATGATTTGAACAAACTTGAATCTACACTACCTGAGGATGATACCACATGAGTTTTATCTTTCCTGGCCCAGTGGTTGTTGAGGAGAAGATTTTCAAAGATTTTTCCTTTCTATTCTTATGTAAAACTTTGATCGGCCATTTAAGCCCCACCCTAGCCCCGTGGGTCATGATTTGAACAAATTTGAATCTACACTACCTGAGGATAATTCCACATGATTTATATCTTTCCTGGTCTAGTGGTTCTTGATCAGAAGATTTTTAAAGATTTTTCCTATATATTCCTATGTAAAAATTGGGTCGGCCATTTTAGCCCCATCCTAGCCCCAGGGGTCATGATTTGAACAAACTAGAATCTACACTACCACTACCTGAGGATGATTTCACATGAGTTTCATCTTTCCTGGCCCAGTGGATCTTGAGAAGAAGATGTTTAAAGATTTTTCCTATATATTCCTATGTAAAACCTGGGTCGGCCATTTTGGCCCCACCCTAGCCCCGGGGGTCATGATTTGAACAAACTTGAATCTACACTACCTGAGGATGATTCCACATGAGTTTCATCTTTCCTGGCCCAGTGGTTCTTGAGAAGAAGATTTTTTTAAAATGCCATTAATTTTGCTCTAATTCATAATTATCTCCCCTTGGAAAAGGGTGTGGCCCTTCATTTGAACAAACTTGAATCCCCTTTACCCAAGGATACTTTGTAGCAGGTTTGGTTGAAATTGGCCCAGTGGTTCTTGAGAAGAAGATGAAAATGTGAAAAGTTTACGACAACGACGACGACAACGACAACGACTACGACGACGACAGACAACGGACAAATTTTGATCAGAAAAGCTCACTTGAGCCTTCGGCTCAGGTGAACTAAAAAAGACCGCGTCCACAGAAACCGGCTCTATTTGCCGTAATTGGACGATTTAAAGTATTTTTTTAAGAAATGGGATATAAGAAAAATATTCAGCACTAATAAACAGCATAGCATAGTTTTTAAAAGATGTTTATTTTGTACTATGGCTACAATCCGCACGATGTTGTACAGAAATTGATGTCAGAATTAATGCTAGAATTTCCTCTAGCGTCTGTATATAAACGTAATGAAAATGTGAGGATAATTAATAGTGATCGATTCTGAAAACAAATCTTTCTAACAATAAAATGTTGTTAACACACGAAGAATAAAAAATGTGGAATATTTTGGACAACGCTGTTGGCCAGGGGAAAAAAACATTCCGATCGCGGTAAATGCATGTTCACATGCATGACAGATAGGTGGATTAATAATTTTTTTTTATTTCAATATACAGACTTTTTTAATCAAGTGATTTCTTTTATTGGAGATTAAAAAAGATAAATATTATTGATTTGTAGTTTTTACTCGTGATTTTTTCTTTTATGTAAGGAAAACATTTTCTAAAACGATATACATGTATCTTATTATTTTTTTCCTTCAAAACATTACCATGATTACGATGAATGCGTTAAGTTTACAAATAAATTTCATATTAAAATAATTTTTTACGTAGTTTCACTCAAAACCAGACACAAAACACGTAATGTTGACCCTGATTACCAAACACAGACTTCCTGTGTAATGCTACGTATACACAGATTTTTGACATCTTGGGTATTGGGGGTCTCCAGGTAAATAACACCACTGTTTACTTCGACCACTCCCCCTCCTCAGGTAACCGTACGGTAAAAAAAATTGGGTCTTTAAGTGAAGATAATCCACCCAAATTAAACTAATGCCCTGTTCACACGACGAGTTTAATTCGCAGTAAATTAATGCAAAGTAAACTAATGCGGATCAAATTAATGCGAATTAAATTGCGTTCACATGACAGCTAATGCAAAGTAAACTAATGCGAATTAAATTTTTTCTTCTACAGTTAGGCGTCAGTAAGTCTATTATGACGTCATTTGTAAATCACGTCATGTATGCAGAGCCATCCTTTGATACATCATGTAGTAGCTACAGGTATTCATTGATTTTAGTGATTAACATACTTTCCCTCAATTTTTGAACCAAATATAGCACATATACCTATTTATAACCAACAACACGTGTTCTGTAACTTAATTCTGACCTTACGAATGCGTCAAAATTTAATTCGAATTAGCTTCGCTTAGCGTTCACACGGAGCTAATGCGAAGTAATTTAATGCGCAGTAAATTAATTCGAATTAAACTAATTCGCATTAAATTCTCCGTGTGAACGCTATTCGAAGCTAATTCGCAGTAACTTTACGTTTAATTTGAATTAAACTCTCCGTGTGAACAGGGCATAAATGGTTCATTTTCCACCGAGAAACTGGATTATAGACACGTTTTATTTTCACTTTCTTCAAATTTTGGCAGACTTATTAATACGATTCTAGATGATTTTAATCACTGTACAGGGGGGCCTTATTTCCTGACAATTGAAAAAGACCTAAGGGGGCGCTTATAGGGACAGGGCGGTTAATAGAGATTATATGGTATTTTTTAAACAAGAGGCCCATGGGCCACATCGCTCACCTGAGGAGCTTTGACCATTCTGTTCTTTACCAGATTTCCCCCTTGTAATACATTATGTATCCCCATCCTACCCCACTGATCATAATTAAGACATTTTGAAATCAACTACCCTCGGATCCTTCCATGTGCAAATAAGTTTCAGCTTTTCTGGCCCAGTGGTTCTTGAGAAGAAGATTTTCAAAGATTTTTCCTATATATTTTTATGTAAAACTTTGATCCCCCCATTGTGGTTCCACCCTTCCCCTGGGGGTCATGATTTGAACAATTCAAAATCTACATTACCCAAGAATGCTTCCACATAAGTTTCAACTTTTCTGGCCCGTTGGTTCTTGAGAAGAAGATTTTCAAAGATTTTTCCAATATATTTCTATGTAAAACTTTGATTACCAATTGTGGCCCCACCCTTCCCCCGGGGGGTCATAATTTAATTTAGAATCTACACTATACCAGGATGCTTCCACATAAGTTTCAGCTTTTCTGGCCCAGTGGTTCCTGAGAAGAAGATTTTCCAAGATTTTTCCTATATATTTCTATGTAAAACTTTGATTCCCCATTGTGGCCCCACCCTTCTCCCGGGGGTCATGATTTTTACAATTTAGAATCTACACTATCCCAGGATGCTTCCACTTAAGTTTCAGCTTTTCTGGCCCAGTAGTTCTTGAGAAGAAGATTTTCAAAGATTTTTCCTATATATTTCTATGTAAAACTTTGATTCCCCATTGTGGCCCCGCCCTTCCCCCGGGGGTCATGACTTGAATAATTTAATATCTACACTACCTTAGGATGCTTTCACATAAGTTTCAGCTTTTCTGGCCCAGTAGTTCTTGAGAAGAAGATTTTCAAAGATTTTTCCTATATATTTCTATGTAAAACTTTGATTCCCCATTGTGGCCCCGCCCTTCCCCCGGGGGTCATGATTTGAACAATTTAATATCTACACTACCCTAGGATGCTTTCACATAAGTTTCAGCTTTTCTGGCCCAGTGATTCTTGAGAAGAAGATTTTTTAATGACCCCACCCTTTTTTTGTCTTTTCTTGATTATCTCCCCTTGCGAGGGGATATGTCCCTTCATTTTAACAACTTAAATTCCCCTTCACCCAAGGATGCTTTGTACCAAGTTTGGTCAAAATTGGCCCAGTGGTTCTTGAGAAGAAGTCGAAAATGTGAAAAGTTTACAGACGGACAGACGGACAGACAGACAGACAGACGGACGGACGACGGACAAAATGTGATCAGAAAAGCTCACTTGAGCCTTCGGCTCAGGTGAGCTAAAAATACAATTTCCGTGATTATTTCTAAAGGACATATGATAGGGCGTTCATATTTGACACAGTATGTCATTAAAAATGACATCTCGACCACAAAGACACCGAAAGTGGGGGACCACAATTATTTGAATTTGCTTGTTTGTTTTAAAACAAATATACTGTCAGTTGTACAACATTTTCTAAAGGCAGACAGGAAAGAACTTAGAAGAGAGAAAGTGACTTAAGAGTTACTTTCTATATGATTTAACAATCTTGTCTGCAGTAGTCCACTAAATAATTTTCCTAGACAACATACTATTAACACTCGAGCCCCTGTATAAATTGTTGGTTTTTGATGCAGTATACCACTCAAATAAACAAAGCTATTGACACTGAAAGTGTTTTTTAATAGTACACTCTAAATTACAAACATAGAGAATGCATAGAACACAAAATAAACTTCACCTTAACAATTATCCATAAAGACATCTAAAATGAATTGCAAAAGTTTTCTCATTCCCCAACAACAAACTACAGACAGACTTGCCAGTTGTCAGTTAAGAAACAGTTGATTTAGTACCTTTATTTTTACATGATTAAATGTTCTATAGCCAATTATTTAAGGTCTGATTACATGAAATTGAATTCATGATTGAAATATATAGGCTGAACATTCAGTTTATTCGACATTATTTCCTCATCTTAATATCAGTATGTTAGAGGTGAATATAATATAGTAATCATCTTGTCATAGCCATAAAGAGTTATGAACAAAAAACCCACGGGCTAGCATCATTCTAAATTCTGAGAAGATTTAAAAAAAAATTTTCCTATAAATTTCTATGTAAATCTTTGGTCGGCCATTTTGGCCCCACCCTTCCCCCGGGGTCATGATTTGAACAAACTTGAATCTACACTACCTGAGGATGCTTCAGTATAAATATGATCAATTATGGCTTTGCTATTCTTGAGAAGAAGATTTTTAAAGAATTTTCCTATATATTTCTATGTAAAACTTTGATCGGCCTTTGTGGCCCCAAACCTACCCTCAGGGGTCATGATTTGAACAAATTTGAATCTACACTACCTGAGGATGTTTACCCATAAATTTCATCTTTCCTGGCACAGTGGTTCTTGAGAAGAAGATTTTTAAATCATGACACCAAATTTTCACTAATTCCCAATTATCTCCCCTTAAATGAGGGCGTGGCCCTTCATATGAACAAATTTGAATCCCCTTCACCCAAGGATGCTTTGTGGCAAGTTTGGTTGAAATTGGCCCAGCGGTTTTTGAGAAGAAGTTGAAAATGTGAAAAGTTTACAGACAGACAGACAGATAGACAGACAGACAGCTAGACAACTAGACGTACAGCTAGATGGACGCCGGACAAAATGTGATCAGAAAAGCTCAATTGAGCCTTCAGCTCAGGTGAGCTAAAAATGTCTTTTTTTGAAAAAGAATAGCCATAAATCAGAAAAGTACCGTATATCTGTTTTTTTTGCGTGTTAAAAATTTTGTAAAAAGGGGTAGATTTGTACAGTTTTTATTTTGTGTAAGTTATTTTTTTATGATTTAAAATTTTTTTCAAAAATGGTAATGTTTTATGTCACATTATAGCTTACATAATTTCTGTGTGTTTTATATTTTGCAAATTAAAAATGATTGCAGAAAAACCAAAAATAGATAATCATGAAAAAAAAACAACAGATATATGGTATGTCACCATTTTGGTTGACATATTTTTAGGCCCCTGTGGCGCATAACTTAAATTCCACACATTTACATTCAGTTTTTTTTTGTATGTATATATTGTTTGAATATTTTTTTTACAATCAACCCCAAATAAACACAATCTAATCTTAATTGTCATAAAATGTTCATTTATTCTAGAAAAAAAATTACATTTCAAATTTATTCAATAATTTTTTTCATGCAGTATTCATTTGTGTTATTCAACTTTCCTGTCACAATGGCTCATCTGTCTTTCATGCACACCAGTTTAAATATTATTTAAAGACATAATAAGGATGCACACATTTCTAAGGACATAAAATTTGAAAACACAACATATAGAATATTGAGTTATGAGTCTTGTCAGCATATATAACTAATGACATTTAAAAAAAAAATATCAGTACATGTACATGGCAAAGAAATGACCAAAAACATTCAAAAATATATATTACACTGATTAAACATTTACTTGCTGTTCTCCAGAAGAAAATTTTCCATGATATTTTTTTTTGCTTAATTTCACTGGATGAAAGACCATCTTTAAGCAATCACTTAATGGTGGCTTTATGGTAGTTTAATGCTGGCTTATGGAAGATATTTCATAACTTAAATCCTCTCACCAAAGATCTTTAAAAGGTCAAGTTTGGATGAAATTGATCCAGTGGCTCTGGAGGAGATATGGAGGTAAAGATGGAAGATATTAACTCATAAAATGTGAAAAGAAAAATTCACTTGAACTTTTTTTTGGGATCTAAACAAGAGGCCCAAGGGCCTTATAGGTCACCTGAGTATCCCGTAACAACTTTCCAACAATTGAATTTGATTTGTGTTTTAAACCAGAGGCCAAGAAATTCACAATTTTGAAAGAGGCACCATTGCTTAATATCATAAGTACAGTAAAACTCGGTTATAACAAAGTCACTGGGACCTATGAAATTACTTCGCTTTATCCGTAATTCGTTATATCCGTATAAGGAATTCGTTAAATTTATATAGCTGGGGATCCAAGATAACTTCGCTATATCCGTGAATTCGCTATATCCGTGTTCGTACTAAACGAGTTTTACTGTATACACTTAGCATGCTTACTTTGGTTACTTAATACCCAGAGGTAGATCAGAGTAACAAAGAGAAAATGCATTTCCACTTTGTAACCAGTTGTTCACCCCATCCCACAGGAACCACTGGCCCTGGGGCCACATTTTTCAAAATTTTATCATGAATTTTATTTCATCATAAATTGTTGATTAATACCGAAGTGCAGATTTCAAAGCATTTATTTATTTTCAGACTATGTACCCCCCCCCCCCCTCCAAATACATCTGACCCAGGGCCCTGGAAATTAATCCATTTTTGAAGAGTATATTTTCTTCATCAGATATATGTACTTATATCATTGGCATAATACCCAGGATCAAAGGAAAAGATTTTCAAAGAAATCATGCATTTTCAATATATAAACATTAACCCCTGCCCTAACACAAGAAGCCCTGACCCAGGGGCCATAAAATTCACAAATCTCAAAGAGGCATCCTTCCTCCTCATAATTATGTACATAGTTCATTGGTTTAATACCCAGGCACAAAGATTTTCATAGAAATAATTCATTTTCACTATATAACCTTTATAGCCCCACCCTAGCTCCCAGGGGGGCAGGGACCATCAAATTCACAATTTTTGTTCCCCTTCACTTATAGATGCTATATGCCAAAATTGGTTGAAATTGGTTCAGCAGTTTCAGAGAAGAAGCTGAAAATGTTCAAATGTTAACACACGATGGACGACTGACGACAATGGACGACGACGGATGAAAACGGATAGCAATAGGTCACCTGAGTTTACTCAGGTGACCTAAAAAAAGATAAACAAGAAAGTGAAGTCTCTTGTCTTTAGGTAAGGAAAGCTTGGGACCTAAAGAATTATTAACATTCTTTTAAGTTCTCAACATGCAAGGCATTGTGGATTTTCTACATTAATATTCAAAGGTACTTCTACAGCAACTTAATTGCATTAAAACCATTACACAGACAATAAATTATCAAGAACTTTCGAAGGAACTCTGGCTTCTCCAGTCCTCTCTTTGTACATGTTCAAATAATGCTGCACGGTTTTGATTATCTCCTTTCTTGACCCAATGTCCATACATTTTAAAAGTGCAGCTATCAATGAGTTTGCGGAAGTTTTTAATGCTATATGGATTAGTTCTCACAGTATCCACTGGTATTGGTGGGGGGTTGTAGTAAAAGAATCGAAGTCTATGGAAAAATCTCACACAAAAAACAGCAGCCTGAAAGTAAAACATTGTTTGATACAAATAATCCATGGAATCTTTTGACATATAATGTGATAAACAAGCATTTCAAAGCAGAAAATTTTGAAAGTAAATGTCCTGCTTTTCTAGTTACTTCAGCCATTCAATTCACTTTATTGAGTAGTGTATGTGTACTTGTAATAAAAGCAGGCTTCATATTTTGGCTGCTTTGGGGCAGAGGGTGATGTTTACTGATTGCTCAGTATTCTATAATAAAATACACAGAGTGGGGTATCTAGAGCTAATTCATAATTATGCAAACAACTCTATACTAGTGATTGCACTCAATTTTGAATTTACACAAACAGTATCTTATAACATTTAATAATTCCCTCTGTGGAAGTCAAGAATGAGTTCAAATAAAAATTGTGACACAAGACCAATATCGTTTCAAAAATTAAATTGACTGACCCCTATCCCAAAATTAAAGTGCTTATTTCATTTATAAAAGAACCATTAATTTTAACAGACTTCATGTTTTTTTATGGCTGCTATTGAGCACATTCTGATTGTGATGTTAATGTATGCCAAATCTTTAGATAACAACCTTTAGTAAAAAGGACTTAGTTACAGCTACATCTATGTTCGCCTACTTTTGACTTAGAACTTTTATCAAAATTCAGCTCAGGTGAGCTTAAAAAACCCACTGAGCACGTGAATCTTCCTCCTCTGAAGCTTCAGAGTTGCTCCTTTTGAGTATTCTTTACTTTGGCTATTCAAAGAAATCTTTTCCTAAAAACTTACCCTAAATGTCCTCTTTGGGAAAAATTGCTTTGGTGGTTTAAGCTGCAATTGAACATAAGATGAACATTAACACCATAAATTATTTCAAAATGCTATATATGTTTGTTAGACATATCACAAATATGACTTTGCTACTTCTGTTAGAAGTACTATTTTCAAATTCCTAAATTAGAATTAATAGATTAATAATATAAATACTGGATACAGGGTTATTTTATTATTAATTAATAATTTATCTATATTAGCCATAACATTCAAAAGTAGGTCATGACCTACTTTTAGTTGACGTACTCCGAGGACCCAAGATACATCAACTGACAAAATTTGATAATCACAAACCTTAAATTGTTCAAAATATGCCTCTAAATCATTTTGAAAAATTTACATGAAGGTTAACATGACCAACTTTTGCGTTAAAATGATATGAGGTCCTTAGATGCATGAACTGACAAGATTTGATGATCCTAGTCCTCATAGTAAGCAAAATATCCACATTTCAATAACGTAATTATTGTCAATTACTTTGAAGTGACCTTGAGACCATGCCCTTTGCCCAAGCAATTCCCTGTGCAAATTTTAATCTATATTAATATCCTCATCCTTTTGTGTAAGTTTGGTGATAATCTGCCTGGTGGTTCTTGAGAAGATTTTTTTAGCAACCAGTACTTTTGTTTCCATTTTCCAAATTATCTCCAAATTAACTCTAAATTAAGGGTCACAACCCTAGTTTAAGTAGGAAAGAGAGCCCTTGGGCCAAGGACAAATTTGACAATAATTGGCCAAGAATTCATGAATTATTGTCCATATTCAAAATTTTTTAATTCATGGATAATTGCAAGATTACAGAAATAGCTCAATATACTGTAAACCAACTATTATTTGCAAGCGAGAAATATTTGTGAGTTTCACGATTTACTTTAACTCGTGAATATTAATGGCTGCGAACCATTAATTAAGCTTTGTATTTATAGAGAATGTTTCCTCAGTCGCGAAAATTAATCGTCACAGATCAATTTGAAACTGAGGAATCGCAAATGAAATATGGTGCAAATAATAGTTGGTTTACAGTATAAAGGAGAACACAGAAGGTCACCTCTCTCTTGAAGAAAGGAGATGCCAGGGCCTGGTCGGCTGATAATCGTTGTTTTGGATTGACCATTAGTAAGTTTGAAATCTAGAAATATGAAAAAGATTAGTTATCTCCTTTTATATGCTTTTTTGTTCAAATATTTCATATAATTTGAACATTCACTTTACTATATTACTTAGCAACTTATAAACAAAACAATATAACAGTTTATCATTTATTAAAAACATTTATTAATCAGAATTATATACATGTAGTCTAGTCTAGACTTGTTGGACCTCAATTAGTTTCATGAGTTGGATGCCAATAATCCAGGCACTTCATTTTCAAAACAAAATTTCTCAGAAGCAGAACTTACATTTACATCCACAAATAACAAGAGGCTAAAATGTTCACCAGAGTCACAATGTTTATCTTCAACAAATTTTTGCCCTCTATATACTGTTTAGAAGGAATTTTTAGCATGTTGCTAAACTTTGGCTTATCGTAGCAGTTTTATGGTAAACTTCTAAATTTTAATTGCTAAATTTGCATTCTTGGTTATGAGTACTGAATACGAAAAAAATGTAATTTAAATAAATTTGCTCCATTTATTGAAAATGACATGATTTACCAGATCTTTAGCTGTCTGGCTAACATCATCCCATTCTGGGCTTCCAAATGTGTAGTTTGCCTGCATGATCATTCTCAACATCTGCATCTGTTTTCGATGCCAGAAAGGTGGCGCCCCGCACAGTAAGGTGTACATAATAACCCCACAGGCCCACATGTCCACCTCCATGCCATACCCAGGAACGTTATCATACATAGAAACAGCCAGCACTTCTGGAGCTAGGTATCCCGGGGTCCCACACAACTCTACAAGAAATATTGATTATATATAATCTGCATGATTTCTGTAAATGTATGTTATTTAGCATGTAAGATATTTGGTGGAAAATGATTTTTGAACAATTTAGCACTGATTTGATTAGGCGGATTTATGAATTCTGAACCTGGTGTGGAGGTTGTTTAAACCTAGCTTGATATTGTTTCCATGGATTTTTGGGTAAAATATTTTGAAATTTTGAATTGTTTCAATGTTGCAGAATTGTTTAATGGTGATGATGAATGTATCTATAGATTTTCCTATATTAAAAAGCTATTATACAAGAAACATTCTATGGTCATATTGGGGACATTTTAAACAACTCTTCGATGTGCTGTTTTAACACTGATGCAGCTGAAGTATAGATTCAGAAGGGAATCTAATTTGATAGATGATTTTAAGGTATTCCAATCCTCAGGTTCTGAAAATAAGGCATGGACTAATTGAAAATACACACAAAAATGTCTCTGAAGTCTCAAAGTAACATGTTTTTACCCACAATAATTCTTCAAACTTCACCTTTAAAGTTAATCATATTATATAAGGAAAAGAACAAAGTACGGTATTGGCCAAAAAATGCCGCTTGTCAGACCTGCTTGGTTCAAAAAATTTTAAAAAACTTAGGATTTGTAGAATTAAATGACATATAATTTATATACATGTCTCAAATGTATGCATTGCAAAAATAACGCTCAATACTGTACCTTTTTTAGCAAAACGTCAAGATTTTACGGAGAATTTTGACGCGACGTCATACATTTAACGTGTACAATAAGCGTAATCTGAAAATTTCAACTTATTCGCTAGGACACAGTTTTTATTATTTTTTTGATTGAATAATACTTTTCTCGTGGATATTTACTCTCATTTTATTGCAGGTCTCAATGAAAATAATATCAGCTATTTCTGTTAAATCAATTGAGAAAAATCTACTAGTGAAAATTAGGTACTGATGGAAAAATTCGAGTGTCCGGGGCTGTCCTTAGTACCAAAAAAAGTTCAATTCTCAAAAATATGGTAAGTACGAAAGCCTATTAGGATCAATCTAGAGAGAAAAAAAAAATTAAAAAGGCGTTATAACACCTTTCGAAAAGGCGTAATAACGCGAAAAAAGGCATAACGCCTTTTGAAAAGGCGTTATTACGCCTTTCCATTCCAAAAGGCGTTATAACGCCTTTCTAAAAGGCGTTATTATGCCTTTCCATTCTAGAAGGCGTTATTACGCCTTTCCAAAAGGCGTTATTATGCCTTTCAAAAGGCGTTATTATGCCTTTCTAGAAGGTGTTATTACGCCCTTTTAAAAGGCATTATTACGCCTTTCCAAAAGGCGTTATTACACCTTTCGAAAAGGCATTATAACGCCTTTTTAAAAGGCGTTATGACGCCTTTCCAAAAGGCGTTATTACGCCTTTCCAAAAGCGTTATTACGCCTTTTACTTTCAATACATAACTAAACATATTTAGCCCAACCGAGGGGGTGTGTGTATGCAGAAATCGTACCTTTGGGACATAAATTTCACAATTAGATTTTTAAATGCGTCATATATTTTCAATGTTGAACCAACTAAGTCCTTCTTTCATACCAGGCACACCTCTACCAAGGGTCATTGATTTCAATTGCTCATTATACCCATGCAAATAGTTGCCTTCTTTTTTCCAAGAAGAGAGAAAAATATCTTCAAATGACATAAATTTTAATACACTGTACATGGCAAGCAAAGCTCCAAGATAAGTCTGCCTATATTTTAGATCTTCACAAGTAGAGTGTTGCCTTCTCTTAATACGAATGCAAACAGTTGTCAGTGAGATGTGCAGGAATATAGAGAATTGCATAAATAAAGATGGTTTTAATTAAATCTTTCTATATTTATTAACATAAGATAATGCCTTTTTCTTTTCCTTTTCATGTAGGCCTGTAATACGAGTGCGAATGGGGTAAACCCCCTCCAAACATACACACTTTTGAGGAAAAGTCTTGCTACAGTTTAAATATTATAATTAACTATTGGTTTCTTGGTTCCTGAACATTTTATTGCAGTATGTAAAACTGTGACAAATTATTGCATTTAAATAAATTTTTACCGAGTATTTCCCCCACGAATTTGGCCAGTGGAGTGTGTGTGTGTGTGTGGGGGGGGGGGGGGGGCTATTAAAAGCACGGGCCTGTTAAATGCAAAATAATGGTTATTCAAAAAGCATAATAACTTTTTTGGAAAGGCATAATAACGCCTTTTAGAAAGGCATAATAACGCTTTTTAGAAAGACGTAATAACGCCTTTTGGAAAGGCGTAATAATGCCTTTTGGAAAGGCGTAATAATGCCTTTTGGAAAGGCGTAATAACGTCTTTTGGAAAGGCGTAATAACGCCTTTTGGAAAGGCGTAAAAAGGCGGGGGGTATAAAAAGTTTATAAACCTGTTCGGAAACTATTATTGATTTACCATTTAGCTGACAACTTGATAATTTTTTATGCCAATCTTTTTTTAATTTATAGTCAAAGTGAAACTAAAGATATTGAAAATATTCGCGTTTTCTGGGACAACCCTCGTAAGTTTACATATTCAATACTTCTTGACAATTTTGTTGGATAAGTACATGTATAATCGCTCATGGATTTTCTTTTGAGAATCCCCACTTTCTAGCAGCCGATGACATATTTATTCCAAATACTAGTATATGTATTTAGTACTGTGTTCGCATATTTTATAAGGTTTAAAATGCTTAAGTTGCTGGTGACACTTTTTTTGTTGTTTTTATTTTTCGCAAAAATATTTTGCTTGGTAAAGAATGTAGCATTAAAAAATAGATCACAGCTTCCTTGTATCTTCATTTTTCTGACAATTGAACGTGTTGTATGTATGATTCTCACAGTAAGCGAAAAGATTCTGGAGGGCTAATGTACAATACAATACAGACAAGTATTTCTTGTATTTAAAGAATATACTAAACATGTAATATATGTATTGTTTAGTAGTCCCTATCCCCAAACATACCTTTTCTTAATTTTAAGGAATTAATGTAATATATAGTGAGCAAAAAAAAAACAAAAAAAAAACACCAACTATATCTGCAATCCCCTTCCCGGGAAGCACAAGCCTTTCATAAATTGCATGGCCCATGACCCCCCCCCCCCCCCCCAGCCATGAATAGGTATTTCCCTTTCTGAGAGTGTTAAAATTTTTATTATCAAAAAAAAAAATTGAGTTTCGAGCTTTTCCTTCAGAAGTAGTAGATTGGATTTCCTTATTGTACATGTAATTCATTTGTATGTCCCAATTCACCCCATACCGTTTTCTTTCGTACAAAATGCATAATGTTAAGAAGTGGTGGCATTTTATATTACATAAAACATGTACTAATATTTGGTAAAGATAGTGGAAGTATAAAAAGTAGATACAACTTTTTCTACTACGTACATGTACATGAACTTCGTGATCACAAATTAAGGAATGTGATTGTTTGTGTATGCTATTAGACATTACGGATAAACCTGGCATTTAGGTTTTGAAATACCCATATCTGTGTACATCAATTCAAAACACTTGTTTTATTGCTGACAACTTGCAAAGACGATCTGCTTTCCTTCGTAACAAAGATTCGGGAGGGTTTTGTAAAACTTGTTTTGTTTCATCTGTATGACTCTCTACTATAATAATCCGAAAATCGCCGACATAGCAGTGACGTACGGCAAGTATTTTGCTTTTGAGAGGGGGGAGATGGTAGAATAAAATACCATGAAAGATCTTGACAAGCGGTTTGATTTGGAAGGGGGATTAATTAATCAAGTTCAAACTTATCTTCTCTCAGTACGTTTTTTTACGTAACTTACAACTTTAGGCTGCCCGAAGTTCGTATACCGTGCACGGAGGTCTCGGAGAAATTGGCACTCGGAAAAGTCAACATACTTTAAAGTGTTCGTTTACTTTTAGCAAAACTATACATTACATATATAGAAATAGACAACATGTGAACCCTCTGAGAGTCTATTCTTTAATGTAAAGTGACAAGTTTACTTAAAACTATTATGAAACAATAAGCCTACATGATTACAAATATTGACCGTATTTTAATGAGTAAATACTCATTTCTTCGAAGATTTCGTTTGTTTAATTTTTCCCTTCCTCCCTCGTAAGTTTTGAAGTTTATAGGAAACATCAAACGTACAATTACTTCCAGTGAGCCTTAATCACATTAACAAAAAGTAAGTGTAGGGGGGGGGGGGGGGGTCAATGACAATTATTGAGTTAAAAGCTTATACAGTGTCTGAAAAAAGTGATGGCAAAATTTTGATATCTAAATGATCCATGGTGAGAGAACTAAAATCTAAAAAAAAAATTCTGAATATTATAAGTTTATGAATAGAGGCAACCATAACAGGATAACTTTGGTACCATACATGCCAACTTTCCCGATTTAGGCGGGATCCTCCCGATTTTACCCTTTCATCCCGCTTTCCCGATAGGGAGAGAAAAATTGCCCTAATTTCCCGATTTGAAAAAAAAATTCACCAAAATTTCCGATTTTAAAAGTTTCCCTACCGCTGAATTTCGTCAATCGGGATAACAATGTCAGACTTGTTTATTCAATGCACACAGATAAGTTTCATTGTTTATTTAACCTAGGTGTTAACTACAGGAAATCGCTTCACGCTTGAACGCCCGAGTTGTCCAGGTACAATTAGCTTATAGCTTGGGGCAATTAGGGGATTATTTTCTCAGTTTTAAGGGGTATGCAAGGTGAAACACATAGATTAAGGGGATCATTGTTAGTCATTTTATTAAAAGCATAAATCAAAGACAATAAAATACTAATCAAACCATAAAATCGGAATCCAAAGAGATCGCTTTTTTTTTGGAAAACGAAAGTAGAAAACTACAAAGCATAGCTACTGATTTTATCTACCTATAATGAAAAATACATGTATTGTAAAGTTTGCCAGTTAAAATATTATGAAAAAGTTAAGATGAAACAATTAATCTAGTCTATGTCAA